GGGGTCATACCAATTCAGGAAGATTAGCAAACACGAAAGAAACAGAAAATTAAATTCAAAACACATTTTTGATAAAAATACACATCTGGGAAAAAGCTGACATTAACTGTATGATATACTATATTGTAAAGTTAAATGTGTTGATTCATTTCCCCTAGAAATTATTGTATGTTAGTGTTTTTAAGTAAACAGAAGAGAAATGTACAAAAATAAAGCAGTCTAAGAAAAAAGTCTGTCTAGCTATTTCTGTGTTACAGCATTCCCACTGGGTTTTTGACAGTTCTATAAAGATTCAATAAGCAGAGGGAGTCTCTTTAAGGAGCAGAAACCTTACATTCATCACAATGGTGCAATATTTATGATGAAATGTTTTTGATTTATAATATGCTGCCTTTACAGTAATATTGTGTAAATGTTCTTTCAGCATTTTTAAATCACATCATTTTATTTTTGAAATACATGTGGTTCTTTGGTTTCACCCTCTGCAAGCAATTATAATATAGAATCAGCAATTTTAATCATCTGTTGCTTATATATAATATTTGTATATAATATATACAGATGGAAAAAAGAAACGCAACATTTTCTGGAATGTGAATACGATAGTTACAGCTTATCTACTTTCACAAAAAGTTGTCAATTTTTTTAAGCCCCCTGACCAGCAATACAGCAACGGGCACTGCACTTGGCACTTGTCAATCACACGAAAGCTCGTTACGTGCATTTTTACCCAACGAGGTCCAGGTGGAACAATACCTAATCAGGTCAACTTTAAAAAGGACTTAATTCAAAGTTTAGGCCACTGCACGAAAAAGTCCACATGTATTCAGTTTTCTGTGCATTCCATAATGCCTTTAATGTCACCAGAAGCTAGGGACAGGGCCATTGGCATGCTACAGACAGGCATTGACAGACACTATGGAGTAAGCTGCTCAACTGTGTGTCGACTGCAGAGAAGGTTTCAGCAGACCAGCAGCACAGATGACTGTCCAAGATCCGGTTCCCCTCAAGTGACCACACCAGAGCAGGACCAACACATCAGATTGGTTCATCTGAGTGATCGTTTCAGATCTTCCACCCGTACTGCTGTTGAAACTGCCGGCAGACACAATGCCCACATCAGTGACAGGACAGTAAGGCTCCATGCTGCTGGCCTTAGAGCAAGGCGACCTGTCAGAGGCCCCCTGCTCACACCTCCTAAACGTCACACCCGACTGGCTTGGGCCAGACAGAGGCTGCGATGGACTCGTCAGCAGTGGCATCAGGTCCTGTTCAGGGACCCACTCATTTAATAGTTGTTGGGATAGGATACACTGTGAGATAGAACACACATTATTCCATTTTTGTCCTTTCTCATATCAATTCCATTGAATTCCTAAAATCTCTGCTGGTTTTCTAATGTCTGTGGATCCCTGATTCTTTCTGATTTTCAGTTTTGTGTTGTCAACACTATGCATTACTTCACGGGAACATACACATCTTTATATGCCACCTCCACAATATGCAGAGATTAAAAGTTTGCTAAGCATCTAAGGGGTTGTTGTGAGAGAACTGCAAATATTGTAGAATTAGATTTAAGTGGACATCCATTTGATGTCTTTTTCCTCCCCCTTTGATGGGATCTACACCAGTTCCTGATCTTCTTTAATCAGATTCTTCTGTGATCTGGCTTTTTTGAAGAGGATGGGTTAATTTTGCTACAGGACCTAATGTACCATTCAGTCTTATGTTTGCACTTTGGTGACTTCTGAGGCTATGGAAAGGAAATCAGCACTGCTACAGTGTCAGTTCCATGTGAATGAGAGATACCATCAAGAAACGGGTAATTATTTGTGCTCATTTCCTGTATCACCTTAATTTTAAACTGCTGTCACCTCAGTGTCTACTTAGTGAAATTGGAGGTTGTCTGCATTTATCATTTGGCCAAATTAGGCCCTTTCCAGATAACAAACAGTTAATAAATTCAAGCAGCGAACTGTTTTATGAAAGATGGGTATGGTCTTCAATAAAATGTTACATGTTTATCTTTATATACTAACATTTTGTTTTCTTTTATTTATTGCTTCTCAAACTTTTCTAGAAGATGTAAATGGTATGTTAACATATGAAACACATATGAACATTTTTTTTTCAAAAATAGATTAAACTCACTATTTCCCATTTTGTATTTATAGTTTACATGTTTGCTACCTAACGGGCTATACTCTACATTAAATGTCATCTTCCAGGTGTGTGCTCAGCCTTGAATTTTATGTAAATTGTTTTGAATTTAATTTATTGCTTTATAGTTTCATAAAGGGAAAGAGGTGTTATAGTTCATACCAATGAAAAAATAGTTTTAGTTAGTACATTACCGACTGAATTCTGGAGGTAAGGTGTTATGGTAGATTAATCAAGATGAAGATATGCATCAGTATTTAAGCTTCAAATGAGAGCAATGGCAATAACTAAGCAAAGTTATGCTGTTATGCAAACATGAGGTTTGAAGAATAATCCAAGTTCAAAAGTATCACCAAACTACCAATTCTGGTTTATACTCTGAATTGTAGCAGTATCAACAATAACACAGAAGTTACCAACTTTATGACAGTTTGACAGTTTAAGATATATCTTTAAGATAAATGCTGTAGTATATATCTTATCACTCAACTGTAATGTGCAGAAATAAGAACAGTACTATCCATATATTTGTATATTTGGTCAAAGAAATACTTACTCAGAGAAATACACTAAGATTTTAGATAGCCACAATTTTTTTAATAGCATTTGACCTGGCTTTAATAGATACGTTTTATTTGTTCTATAGTATTAATTTCACATTCTTGTGTCTTGATTTGTTTAATTTGAAATAAAAAAGTAATTATAGACCCATAAGTCTACTATGTGAAAGTGCAGTATATGGAAACATGAATTACTATAGAACTAGTGGATCACCAATATAAAAAATATTTTAGGAAATACTTTGAATTACAAAATCAAAGCAACAGTAATGGATATAAAAAGAACATATAATAATGGTTTATTTAGATTTTCAGAAGACTTTGAGAGACTTTCTAATAAAAGCTTCTCAAATGTGTTGCAAATAAATATTATTTTGTCTTTTATGTGTGTGCAACCACATGGTTCCTCTATCTGACTGTGCCAGAGTAATAAAGAAACCACATGATTCATTTGGTCAGTTTCATTCCTGACTGTACAATGCCATATCATAGGGTTTTTAGAATTGGTGAAAATACATTTCCAAATGTTACTTTGTACAACACCCACATATACTGTATTGTAGCAGTGTTGTTGTTTTTTTCTCCTTTGGAGCACCACACACCATGACAGTCTTGAAGAACAATCAAGAATTGCATTTTCCCTTTCTAATTTCTAAGGTTTTTGACAGATACATTGCTCAATGTACAACTTCCTACTTTCTGGAATAAGTCTCTGCCTGAATAGTCAAAATAAGATGTGATCAAATTAAATACACTATTCATCTAAAAAATATGCAATTCCACAAAGGAGAAAACCTACTTAGCTTTGAACGAAGGACAGTTGGTCGTATTTTCCATTTTCATCAAGACCTACATAAAACTTAACAATGAGATGTAGCCATAAGTAGATATGAAAATCATTTGCATTTAAAACTGAAAAAAGCAGTTTATTGCTCCCCTTATTCCTCATCCATGCTTTCACATACTTGCAGTATCAGGACAATCCTGGCCTGAGAAGTCTTCCTGAACCTTCTAAAGCCCCGAAGCTCAAAGCTCTCAGACCATCTTCAAGGCTCAATATATAATTTACATGTGTGTATTTTCTTCCACATTACCCATCACATTATAGCTGCTTCATTAACATTGTCCTGAAGATTACTGCACTCAATAACTATTTATTGTCACTTTATTTTGTTATTTTGCATATTTATGCTGATTTGCACAGTATAGTAGATATACCTTGTGTAGATACTATACATGGTAGGATATTATTCCCAGTTTAGATGTTTTTTTTACATAAACTAGACTAGATGTTATTTGCATAAAGATTAGTGTGTCTGTTATGTGCTCAGAATCTGTTCTGCAAAAAGGCTGAAGCTAAGACCCCTTTAAACCTCAAGGTCTTGTCCCACATCCAGGATTAATTTAAGTCAAGACCCTGGAGATTGATGTCCTTGAACTGGGGTTGTACTCCCACATCAGAGCTCGGGATCCTTTAGAGACGTCAAGGATAGATGTTTTGGCACTTGAGATAAGCCAAAACTGCAGGTCAAAGTCCAGAGTCACGGTTTGGGATCCTGTTAAGACCTTGAAGCATAATTCTTGACCAGGGCTTAAGACTTCGTTGAGACTTTGAGAACATGTGATGTGTTTTTCTTCAACCATATCAGATACATTTTACTATTAGTTTTAGTAATGTTTGTAAAATAGAGGGCTCCCCCTCCTCTTTATACTGTAACTCACCAGGTATTTAATAAGAGTACAATTTTAATAATAAGATGACATTTTCTGCATTTTTTAAAAATTAGTTTTAATCTGCGCTATGCTTAACAAAACTAAGCAATTCTTACAACCTTTTGAGCGATATACGTAAATAATGGTGAATTTTATGACTTCAAGTGGATAGGCAGAAATTCTACAAAAAGATAAGTGTTGGAAGCCGTGCTGTACATTACATAATTCTTGTAATATGGTTTTCATACTTTGTCCATATTCAGTGACTTGTAGAGACAACTTTCATGCTGTAAATTTTTGTGCTCTCCGAGATAACTAATATTGTGACACTATTGAGCCCCTCAAGTAATCTTTCTCAATGATTATTCACAATTAACTGTCAAACTCCAGGCCTGTCTGCTTGTGCTGATGATTTAACTGATTAACAACTTGGATATCCTAGAGCAGATGAAGTTATTTATTTAGATTTAATTCTAATTTATTTAGTTTTTATAGTTTCAAAATCTCAGGTTCACCAAAAGAGTGATCTTAATGTAGTTAATTTAATTCACTAATACACACAGAAGCTAGATTCCAGAAAGTGTGTTTTATTTAAGCAAACTTGAAATTTAGCTTGGTAAACAATCTGTAATTTCATTTATTGCAAGACAATTTTATCTCTACATACATTTATAAATTGGAATACAATCCAATGTTTGTGGTCAGGTTCATTATGCTAATACAAACTAAAAAGGTCACTGTAATGCTGATATCCCTTGAGTGTCATTGCTTAACAATATTATTATACTACAGTGTATGACATTATACAAAACTTAGCCCGTGAGAACACTACAAAACAATTCAACTTCATTTTGAAGAACGGAGACACTATTATTCAAAAACAAGTTAAAACAGACGTTTGGTTGTTTTCTTCACCCAAATTTCTTCCTATTTCTGTCAAAGGAAGAAATGCACCAGTATTTGGAAATCCACAACCCCACATTTATAACATCACACAAGGGAGTTGTTATTTTTTAAATTAGCCATTTCACTAACTTTACAACCATTTTCAAAGTAATAATATTCCATGTAGGAACATAATTACAATAAAATAAGGACCTCAATATCAAACAAAATATGAAAGTATTGATCATTGCAGGTTAAGGAATTCATTATTTGGACTAAAGGTCAACAATGCCTTTCAGATTATCTACTCATTATCCAATGGAAGTTTTTGTAGTATCCAGGATTTCAACTGCTCAAGTTGTGGTCTGCTGAGTTCGTGGTACAGGTCCGAATAAGCATGAAAGGAAGTCTTCATTCCTCTGGCTTTCAGCAAATTGTTAGTATCCTCACCCCACTGGTACAGGACAAGTTCATCTGCCTTTCCATGGCACTGGAACAACTCTGGAAGAGGAGTTTCACTTTGCTGTATTGCCTGTAGAGAAAGGTCAGTATTGAAGTATTTCAAAAACAAGATCTCAAACAGATCTGGAAAGGCAAAGGAACTGGAATCACTCTGCACAGTGTTTTTGAGGAAATGGAATGGCTAAACAAAAATTACCCCAGAAAGCTTTGATTAGAAAACAAGACTATTCAGTATATTTCACTGGGTATTTTATTAGTTTGTGAATCTAAAGGACGTCAGGGTTTGGGCAACAATCAACTGACTGGAAACACTGTTCCATATAACCCTAAAAATCAGTTTTATAAACTTTGAATCATATCTCAATTTCTATTGTTCTATAATGAATAGGTTTGTTCCTTTAACTTGTCTGTACAGTATATGACAGTTACTTAAGATTCATTATTGTTTAAACTTTTTCTAAGTCTATAGTTCACTTTTGTGGTATGGAGACCAAAATGAAACATTTTTTTCTAAATCAGGATCTACTTGTAGAGGTACACCTAGAGCTAATCTTTCCTTGATTTGAAATCCATTCTTTACTGTGTACCCAAGCATTCTGTTTGATTTTATTTCCCAACACTGTCTTAATGAGAACATAGAACAGTGATGGCCAGCCCTGGTCAGGAAGAGCCACAACCCGACAGTTATTATGGGATTATCTTTAACGTAAATTTCTAAACACTTGAAACACTTTTGTTTGTTTCACTTAAGCAGGTAGTGTCCACTTTAAAAAGATTATAGATCATTTCAAATGTAAATGCCAACATACTATTGGCCATTCCTAACTTAAACTTTAAACTTGAACTTATACATAAAATTATATTAACTAAAATGATCGAGACTCATACTGTATGTGTTCCAAATCTTTACAAAATGATGATTTATGGGATACACATATGAGCTTTTGAATTCCCAGAATCCGTGTTGTTTCCCCTTAATTTATGTTTAGTAGAAGAATGTACATAGATGTCCATACAGTATCTCTTTAATAGATAGCTTTCTGCAACTCAATATCATCCATTCAATATGTACGCTATCTATAGTATATTCACACATACTGTAGTACTTTGGACTTATTGACTTAATGCATGTCTAAACATTAATCAATCAAAACTATAAGGGCAATCCCAGGGACCTGTTATAAACATGAGCATTATGAAATCTTAATAACATAATGGCAATAAAGTAATTTCACACTTTTTTAATCCATCATACATTTTTTTCGTGCTCTCATATTATATACAATACATATAGTACATCTCATACTTTCAAAAGATAAATTTGATGTTCAATACTAAAATACTGCAGTAGTACACTAATAAAAATATTAGTAATAAAAGTTACGCTAACTTTGACACTAAATATTAAACATTATGTTTTAAAAATATACCTTTTCATGTAAAAAAGTATCTTGTGTTTTGGACACTCTTACAGTATTTAACAATGCAGTACAGTACATGCTCTCTTCATAGATATTTTACACATTTAAACCAGAAACAACCAACATACAGCATACAGATATTTAACAATTTTAATATGCTTTTTTGTCAGTCAGGACCTATAGGAGGAACTGAAATTTATTTTAAATAATTGAGAAAAAACTTTTGCCACTGTTCATTATTTTTCAACACAATACAAACAATTGTCTGTATTGAAGCGGACAGCACATTATAGGTAAGGTAAAAAAAGAACAAACAACAAATTAATTTCTGGATTGCCCATTGTAGGACTGGAGAAGAGAGAAAACAGCACATTTATTCAAAAATATTACTGAAAACAGAACATTGCATAGGACACATATGAAAACTTTAAATGAGAAAAAGCTTTCAATCAGGCCAGAATAACACTTGATTATTAGAATGGGAATCGCCATCACCATGCAAGCTGTGAAGAAATACGTTTAAGGAACTATTAAACTATAAATCATTATTTACACACAACCATTAACTGTGCTGGAGCAGTAAAGGTGTTGTGAGGTGGTGAATAAAAGTAATGAATCTCAGAGGGTCCTGTATAATATATAACAGATTCAATATTTCAGCTGTTGGGAAATACAGGGCCAGGAGTAAACCAGTTCTGCTTGGGCCCGGTGAAACAATAAAATAAGAAATACATTTAGAAGCAGGTTTTATTTCTTTCTGTGATACAAGGAAAGAAAATGTTATCTGTTATCTGTGAGCCTCACTAGAGAAAACATTTAGAACTATTGGACGAACATCCCCTACCCCTACCCTTGTCATATCCTATTTTAGAATTGTAGAATTAGGTTATGGTATGCTATGTTAAAATTGTATAATCACTTAGTCAGGCCTAATTAAGAATACTATGTACAATTCTGGTCACAATTGTATAGAAAAAAAAATTGCTGCATAGGAATCAGTCCAGAGCAAACTGATAAATTCCAGGAATTAAAGAAATGTCCTGCACTGAGAGGCTAAAAGAAGTGAACTTTTTTGGAGTTGATTAAAGAAACCTACAGTATGAATTAAAAATATTCAGATCCTCAAAGGTGCTGACAAACCCAATCCAGTGGACATCTTCAGAATGAATGTAAACCAGGGGTCACAAATGGAAACTACAGGCAGTTCTAGACTGTCAACAGGAGAAGCAGTTTTGTAAGATTCTGCTTAAAATCACACTTAAATCTAAAATAAAAGCCAATTTTCCACAAGAATGTATGAAAATAAGGGAGCTGCATTCAAATTCTCCTGATAAGCAGGCACCTGAACTCCCAAACAAAAACAGCTACACATTTTTCTAATGTAAAATGTTTATATAGTAGGACTAAAATGTCTCTTTTTAAACTTAAGATATCAATTTCACGTAAAATGTGAATAAAAGTGATCTGTTGTGAAGGGTGTGGAAAATTCATGAGTCATGTGTCCTTAAACACGTCGGAACTGGCAACTTTCTTCTCTTTACCTCACTGAGCCTTTCAGATGCCATTTAGTTTAAAGTCTTGCAGGCAACATTACAAATAATCTTTCCTTATTTCATTTTTAGCTGATTATCATCTGTAGAATGTTTTTTAAATCATTCTATTTATAAATGTTAGGACTGAACAAGTTACTTTAAATGCACGTTGTTTTTAAAAAACACTCTGCATTAAGTTTGTTTTGCAGATTTTGTTTTGCACACAGTAGCCTTTATGGTTTTAATTTACATTGAATACAATACAATTAAGGTACAGATTAAGGCCCTTTTGTGATGTATTGGATAAGTGTGATATGGTGGGATATGAATGGCAACTGGAAGAACACTGAGATAAAATTCCTCTGCTGCCTGTGTGTCACCTAAGAAATTCTGTTCATTCTTGTGTGAAGCTTGTACAGTCTGTCAAGTTGCCTCCTGTTGGCTGTGCTATAGTGTGTTAAAGAGAGAATTAATTTGTTCTAAATTAAGAAATAGTACACATTATTCAGGCATGTTAAACCAAAAGTTTGCAAAGTAAGAGGGCCTATATACAGAAATACCTGTAAATGTTGTAGTTGTAGCTCTGTATATAAGAACATTTAAAACTGATAATAGGGGGCACCTATTTAAGCAAAGGGATGTGAGAGTACGGATAAACAGCCATTTTGTTAAAGTAGATACCGGGCCTCATTCAAGAAATAGCTGAATCAGATTCTAGGATCTACTGGCTACAAACTACCAAACTAGAACTGTAGGAAGGGCTAAATAGCCTCTCATTTCAATAATCCATTGAGATCCTACTTAATGTGATAGAGGAAAAAATAGTTATATAGTAGCATATCTGGCGTGACTCCTATGTGAGCCAAAATCTCCCTCATTTTGATCTAGGGGGTTACTGTAAGGGTGTAGATGAGGTTGTGTGAGGGATGTGAGAAATATACATGGAGGGAAGTCCTGGGTGTGAGACTTAAATATGCAGATGAGCAGAAGTGTAAAAGATTAGAATCTAACCTTCCTCCCAAACTTCCGTTATAAACTCCATTTGTAACCCTTACTATGTTTTTGTGTTTTCTGCCTCATTCATTTATCCTTCATTTGTTTGTTCCAATCTTATGAAGCCACTAAAAACATAAGGAATTGGGAAATAAAGCTGAAATACCCTGAAAGTGATGTTAAGTTTTTAAAAGTATATTCTTATGTATGCTCCTTAAGAACTGATTAAGCCACTGAAACTGGTAGTTCAAGTCGAATTTCACTTGGCTTTTAAGTTTACAGAAACAATTCCTGATATTTTGTTCATAAACTATACATTAAAAAATCGTCATTATTATATTTTCATATTATATGGATTTTCCAAAGAAGGCAACAATATATTTAAATATAAATAAAATGCTTCATAAAACAATAATAGAATATAGGTCCCTCTTAGTATCTTTAATTCTTATCATAGCAAAACAATACAAATCTTTCAAATTTAAAAATATTGTATTTTGTTTTTGTCATATATGTTTGTATATATACATTTTATGTCTATAATGTGGAAAAATATAGAATATAAAGGTTACTTAAGCAATGCTATTTCTACATTATCCAGTGGAATCTGAACCTAAAAGGTTTAGAAAGCCAGCTGGAAATAAAAATAAATAAAGCCAATCTAAATAGCAAGTACATCTGCATAGTTTGTCAGTGATTAGCAATACAGCGGTGCATTATAAATCAAATCCTCAAGGGAGAAACTAAACATGGTTTCCTTCCCAAATTGATGAATCAGCACACCCGTATAATTTAGTTTTGCTTACCTTAACGGTCAATTTTGTTTGAGTAAGGGTAGTTTTTCTTAACTGTCAGTTATATGTTTTTCTAACTGAACAAAATGACTAGTTTCTTGCTCCTTACTGGAATTCTGCCAGTAGATGTGTGTAAAGACAGGCTTCAGTTGTTCTTGCACAACACAGACATACTCATATATCTGGATCTTAAATTTAATATCATTACCAGGAGGAATTTTAGATTAAAATAATATATTGTGTTTGATGGGAATGCCGTTGTTTTCTGGCATTATAGCTGTTTAGGTACTGTATGCTGTTAATAATGATAGCTTATTTATGGTGTTGGTCATGTTGTAAGTGTGATGTTCATCATTAAAAAATCAGAAAAAAATAGTATGCTTCAGACCTAAAAATCATTACTTAGAGAAATAATGTGCCAGAGATGTGATTCAGAAATTGAAACATCTGCAGATCTTCAACAAACTAAAGACTTTTAGTTGTCATATTTCAAGAATAAAATATGCAGACTCTTATGTAAATGTGTTAACAATTTTTAGCACAAATTATTATATATTAAACTACTGTACTAAAGGTATACTATACTAAATATACTAAATACTACATTAAAGGGCAAACTTATCAGTAAACCTGTCAGTATAATAATAAATACTTTACTTGTCAGAATCCTCAAATTATTGTATCCAATTTGGTTGTTTTTCAAACAATTATATTCTGAATGGCAATTTGAAATGATTCATACATGTAAATGTGTGTCTGTCATCTCAGAAGTGAAGCACAGCTGCTCCTCCTGAAAAGACCCAATGTGAAACAGGATGTGAACTTTACTCCTGCTGGAATTTTGTGTGCTGTTTTCAATCCAGCTTCAGCCTGGAGCAGACTTTGGTGTTTGAAGTCACTCCTTAATCAGGACAAAAAATTGATAATAACAGGCAACAGCAAACTCATTCCTTAAGTGACAAAGCTTATAATTATGCAACAACAGAAATAAAGTCTCATTTTTGGTAAAATTATGCACTTTCATTTTTTATGTGAGAGACATATTTCCCTTACAAAGTAACATATTCAAAATTAACAAAGAAATGACTGACACACCTAATTACAAGTCTGCATTAAAGAGCACTACAGCACTACTGTGTAAATAAAATGGGTCATTTTTAACTATACTGTTAAAAATAATTTGTCACAGGTGTTCAATAAGTGAGAACACATACACTAGGGCATTTAGGGAACAGCAGTATATGCTTTCTAAACTGTGTCATTTAATAATAATGCTCTGTTTATACTAATTTCTAACTGATTGAACAACAACTTCAAACACTAAGTCAGATTGTCTAGCTTTTGATCTAAGCTGAAAAAGATGTTCCTGCTATACTTGTATAATATTTTAATTATTTATTATTCTTAAATTAATATTGTTAATGATGTTCAGAGACAAAATTACACTTCAGTTATTTTTAGCTAACATTTCTCTTTAGTTACATGATTCTATATTAATATTCCCTATTAAGGAGTTTAAAAGTACTACAATGTTGTTTACAACAGTAACCACAGCAAGTATTCATAGAAAAGGTTAAAACATTATAGCTTTTTATAATGTATATGAACTTAATATAGAACAAGCATGTCAGAACTTCCAAAATAACCCCAGTAAGTGACTGAGTTAAAGACTTTGATGCAGAAAATGTTTATGAAGAAGTCGAAATACTGTTGTGTATTGTTCTTTATTTTTAGCTACCACTACCAGCCATACAGTATGTACAATATATTTATATTCCTAAATTAGTATAATTCTTGACATTCATACAGTAAATGTAATGTTCTATTTTTTATGTCTATAAAAACGCCATATAAATGCCATATAAATGTTCTATTTATTGGATTTAAACAGATTAAATGAAGCAACTGTTTTACTAACACCTAACCCACCACAGGTGCCACCTAACAATTGTCTTTGCCCAGTGAATCACATAACATAATGCGCTGCATGACAGGTGCTGTGTTTCGAAAAAATTACACACGTTCTGATGGCTGCATCTGTATAACAAGTAATCTTTTTTAAATCAATTTAACATATTTTATTCAAATCTCTAATGATCACTTTCATGCTAAATACATTAATATTATATGTGAAAGAAAGTAAATATCAGCAAAACCTGCAAAGAAGATTTTGAAAATGTGACATTTATGGATAGTGTACTCAGTCATTATCTGGATGAAGCACCTTTGCCAGCAATTACTGCTGTTAGTATTTCTATATACAGTAGACGTCTACATGTCTTGGTCACTGCTCTTATTTTGACTAGTCTGTGAGGGACTCGTGATAGAAAACAATTATCAAGCCTCCCCCTTACCATGCCCATAGAAATATGCTGTATACTGTATATCCTACAGAAAATACTATAGCATACAGTATGTTTATCATTCAAAGGCACTGTTAAAGTTCACAGAGGCATCTTTAAATCCAATTCCTGCTTGACTCTTTTTTCACTATGGAACAATGACTTTATCGAGTTGGTGTCTGGGTGGTATGATGCACATTCTATTTATTCTATTCATTCTATTTATTCACTGCACTCAAAGGGATGAATAACCATCTCTAGATCTGTGACTCTCTACCACCACTTTTTGATTTTTTTTAAAACTCTCAAGGTCACTGAATGACCCACAGACAAGTAGAATATAACCAGAGCTTTAGATTTTTTGTCTTTATATATATACACCAAGAAAATATCCCTGAAGCAAAATGCTGACAACAAAAAAAGACACCAGACCGGGTTATGTCACGACCACCAGGCAGTCAAGACCAAATCGTAAGCGAGCTAATCAGCACCAGCAGCGGGTGATTATTAACAAACGCTGCCGCACGAGTTAAACCACCTGCACACACTCACTGTGCGGTGCGCACTGCTATTTATACCATCTTCACCTGCTTCCCACTGCTCGGTATTGAGTCTACTCCTTGAGAGCTCTACCTGGCGTTTTTCCCGTACCTCGTTTATTCTGGATTTTGGATTCCCCTTCTGCCTTTTCAACCTTGCACCTCGCCTCTCGCCTCGGACTGTCTGCTACCAGAGAACTTCCTGGATTACGACTTGCCTTTCGCCTTTTGACTACGACCTTGCCTCTCGTTTTGGTTTGTTCGCCTGCCTCATCTATCACCCGTGCCTGCGTCTGCACAGGATCCGTGTAATTGTGGAAAACAGAACTAATTTTTCAGAACCAAATTCAGAGACAGAGCATCTAGATCATGAATTAGCGTAAGACAGCAGAGAATGGAAATTCACTTTCTTTTTAACAGTGAATTTCAGGATTGTGCCTCCATAATTCTGAAGGCAGTTTACACAAAGATTTTTTAAAAGACACAGTGTAAATAGTTGAACTGACTGATACAGTACATGGGTGTGTTAGTATGAATGTTGGGAAATAGATGGTATAAGGTATGTATTTACACCCTATATCTGGTGATTGTATGGAACTGTGGCTTGTTCTCCACTTGAAATGTTGTTACAAACTCTATTCATTACAAATAAATTACTCGAACATGGAACCACATTTTTAGGGTAGCAAATACTGGAAGTATAATCAACACACAGCAAGGGCATTGAACACAAAAAAAATTACATTTGTGAATGAGGCCCTATGTTTTCACATTTAATTGTGGTACTGGATGCAAAAAAGGACATTTGTATATAAAAATGTGAATTAAAAATACAGATTCAAATCTGTTTACCTTTTTGTCCAAACTGCAGTTGAACACTGTCATCAAACTAGTCACCCCAGAGATGCCTGTGAAAATCTTTTGTAACTACATATGTGGTTGTATAAAGCTACAAATAATGCATATACTGTACACGTATATGCAGAAATATACATATAAACTGTAACAGATACTGATTCCATTGTTTAAACAATGTCACTTGTCCAATACTTTATTCTATCTATGACCTAAACAAGAAAAAGATGGATACATTTATTTCCATTTGTAAAATTCAACTTCAAAGCTTAATAATATATCCTCTTCTGCAAAAAGCATGGAAGCAAATACATCACACTCACACTTGTATTGTTAAACTGTATTTTTTTTACCAAAAATAAGAGTGTCACATATGTAAGTATTTTGCAAGTACTGTACATTCAAGTAACAATGAAGAATTGCATTTTGTATTGCATGTTATGATTTGCACAATGCATACCATTTTACAGATGTGTTCCTAATTTTGTTTATGCTTGTTTTTCTTTAAGGGCATTTTTATGTAGTACAACTGAAGCACACGTGGAGCAGAACCTTGTAGAGTTCACATCATTGTGACTGATAAGAGTTCCATATACAGAAGATCTATGGCACAAGTAAAGGCAGTCAAAACCTTGGAGGTTATCTTAATTATTTTCCATATTAATGCCCTGTAACTCACTTAATGGTTTCAATTACCTGGTAAACAATAGAGTCCTTGTTGAGGAAGCTGGACAAAGCAAATACCCCGGCTACATCAGCGTGGAATCGGCAAGCTAAATGCAAAGCCATGGCTCCTCCCATTGAAAAACCTCCTTAAAGCACAAAGAGAACAAATGTTAAAATAGTCTTTCACAGAAAAGTGTCTATTAATAGCAATATATTCTATTAATGTAGCTCCTCTCCAGAGTTTGCCAATTAACTTTAAATTATGCATGGTATCAGGTTAGCTTGTACATTCCTTTGATTCTAATTTTAACACTGCAAATTTCACAGGTCATATTTGAATAAATACAAATACTAGCACATTGTCATATTTCATAACTGGCATCAGAGATTTCTCAACATGAACTTAATCTATTTTACTCCAAAAATAATGCTGCTGAGCATGTTAACAGAGAATTTACACACGTCTGCTTGTGGAACTGGCTTGATCAAATTTCTTTATGATAAAACTAATTAATGATAAAGAAATAATTATTTTTCAGTTCATACTTTTAATTTACACATTTTCACAACAATTGGGTAAAGTGTAAATTCAATTACTTCCAGAATATTTTTCTAAAATATTGTTTATAGTCCACAATAATGCATTAATTTTCCAAAATTAGTCAACGGAATTAACCTCTCCTCCAATCAGCACTGAACAAGGACGAACGATTCTAAGGTGGGCAAAGTGAATTTTAACTACACTCCCACTTTCTCCCTGTGTGCATTTGTGGGATTCATATCTGTGAGCAACAACCACAAAATTTTACTCTTTAGAAGTGCAGTGGAATCTTCTGGAATTATACAGTGGTCTCTAAACGTTCCCTGTTTCCCTGGGCTATAACAGGAGGTAACACGTGGAAGACAAGCATGCATTATCCTGGTTAAGGAATCCACAAATGTGGAATCTATCACTTTCCACTGTAGTGTCCAAAATTAGAAAATTTAAGGAAAATGTCTATAGTACCAGGAAGAGGAGACAAGAGTACCTTGCCAACAGGGGCTGAGAGACAAGTGGTTTGGAAAGCATCTTAAATCCAAAGGCAAAAGTTGGAGATCACTAACAAAAACTAGAATCTTCAAGAAAATGTGAGTCAAAAACAACCATTTGAAGTTGCTTGCATGAATGCAACATCCATTGCCAGATTCCATATTTTCTGAGGAAGAACCACAAAAAGAGGTATCTTGAATTTACACAAATACTGCTGAATTACAACTGAAACCATGTCTTACGCTGAGATAAAAGGCAAATTACGCTTTTTGGAAATGCTCAACATAACTTTTTTTTGGAATAAAATTGTTCATGTTGTAAAAACACTTGTGCCAAATGTGAAATATGGCAGTGTTCTACTGTGCATTGAGGCTTGGTTTGTATTATAAATCCTATACCCCTTCTTAAATTAGAAGCCATAATGAACTCAAAGATACAGCACAATATTTTGGCCAAACACTAAACTCTTAGTTCTAGCTTCCAAGAAGCTCAAACATGACCAGAAATAAACATTCCAAAGGACAGTGGTCCAAAGGATACATCTAAATTGGCAAGGAAATAGTTAAAAAAATACAAAATTAATGTTCCTGAATGTCCATCTCAATCCAACTACCCTGTCCTCAATGCAATTGAATATTTGTGCTTCAAGCTCAAGACCAAAGGATCACTACACACAACATACATCTTGTTAGTGTAGCATGCCAGAGAAGTATTTACAAAAAACTAACAATAAGGTCATGAATATAAAGAATGCAACCCTAATTTTCTGGACTTAAATATGACTTTGCCCTATGCAATACTATTAAGATAACAGTATGACATTTTTTATTTTTAGCATGACATATTGTTCAGTCTGTAAATATTTCTGGTATACAATGTTTTTATTCCTATTTCACTGGGATTATGAATAACTCTGGAGGGCAAAGTATATTTGCATTACTGCAATCATCAAAGGAACTATGGAATGTTTAAGAATGTTTGATGTGTAAAACTTCAAAACCTCAAGACCAACTTTACTCGAAAAAGACAGGTTAAAAATAGCCAGTAAAATAATTCAAGTACAATTGCTCTGCTATCATTTCTGCCATCTTCTTAGAAATGTGTCTACAAATGATTTCCCAGATGTGGTATGAGTAACATTTGAAAAATGGAAGAGTATGCGAGCTCACTTTATTCTGTCTGCCTGAAAATCGATGGCTTTTTCCACAACGAAGGGGTAAAATTACTTCACATAAACCACCTACACAGTGCACCGTAAAACTCATTAGATTTTTTGTCATGATTAAACATAAAGATTCTACCCCCCTGCCCTCTTTCCCTTGTAGTTACATGCTGGCACATTAACCATCCATTACTCACATGAGCTGTCTTTGATACTATAGTCACCTGGAGTGCAAGGGAATATTAGGTAATAGGACTTTCATGTGGTTCACCACTTCTTAAGAGAAAAAAAAAACAATAACACAAAAGCTTGGATTCTAAGCATTTAATTTTCCAAGGAAAAATCTGCAACTTGTCAGTCAGCCCCAGAGTGGTCTCTAGGTGAATACTGTATAATATCTGTAATGCACACAGTGACTTCAATGAGTATTTATAGTTAATGACAAAATGTTATGATTTAAGAAGATAATATTTCAATACTGTCTAGCAGGAACATGTGTTTTATGTATCAGTTAGTTGGAGGAGAGCTCAGCGGGACTTTTTGTTGTGTTTTTAGTCCCCAGCTAATCCAATCTTAGGAAATACCTTAAACTGATTTTTTTCTTGAAAAATGCAAATTAACCCTTTCCTTGATGGTTCTCCAGTTCTGTCGTGTTACCATTGTCTGATATCCCACTCTTTATAAAACCAAAGCATAGCCTACTATAATAGTAAAAACGATACGTTATTATAATTGGCTTCATTTTTTTTCATTTATCACTTGTTGTCCAGTTAAATTTGAGTGTTGATGTTTTGTCTAATGTATTAGTAATCACAATAACATAAGCATAAATACCTTCTGGAAGGCTTACAAATTAAGATCAATTACATACACGATCATGCAAATTTCTACTGCTATGTTAATTTACAGCGATACATGGTTGACACATACTATATAATGTATATCCTAGTTACTATTTTCCATCTTTCAGACACAGTACGATGTCTTACAGTAGGATGTCAAACATTAAACATAGAATAACAAAGAATATAAACAGCTAGATATAAAATTAAGTTGAAAAAAGAACTGTAAGTAGCTGTATCCCTTTAAAGCTGAAAAAGATCTCCAAACAACAAATCCTTAAACATCTAACATTAATAACAATCAACAATCCAAGAGGTGATTAAATCATGTTTTTTAAAATGCTTGTTATTTCCCAAAGAAATAAAATTACATAAATTATATAATATTTACCGAATATAATCCTGTTTTTTGGAATACCAGCTTTGACCTCTTCTTCGATAAGGGCGCTGAGTGTGTTGCACATGGAGTCAATGGATTCAAGGTGTTCTGGAGAATTCCAGGAAATTTTGTGTCTGTCAAACCACACATTAGAAAGAGACCCTCTCATAGGTGTATAAGGCCTGGAACAGACAGAAGTAATATTTAGTATGTAACAGTACCTAGAGGGATATTTGTAGTACAAACAGTGTACACTACCACTGATCACCTAATATAGATTTTGGCTAGCAAGGTGGAGCAACCAAAGCAACGGTCTTCATTCAAAATTAAATTGAGAAGACATACAGTAGATGCACATTTTAGATTATATACTGCAACAAGAACTAAAGCATAAAAAGACTTGTTTCACAGGTGCCTAGATACAAATACAAACATGAGTACTAATTACTGTACAGTATATGACTTGTTGCTCAAGTATGGATACTCAAAGGACAAAGCTTTACAGTCCCAAGATGGTTGAGGGTCTAAAAAAACTTTTGAATTTACTACTTCATTCCATCTCTATTTCACATTTCAGAATTTACATATAAATGATGTATTTTGAATAAATCTTGTTGCTGACATGTTGCACTGTAATGATTTTCACTGCCCATATGACAATAGAGGTGGTGGTTCTGTAATTGATTTTGTTTTGTATAGAAATCATGGAGCCGTGGTAGCTCAGATGGCAAGGAAGTCTAGCTCCTGATTGGAAGGTCCTGGGTTCAATCCCAGGTAGGGACAAGTGATATAGCTTATTCTAATTCCTTCCAGATGGTTCCCAATTCCACTCAGCCTGCTTTCCAAATGAGTACCGGGGGTTAATCCTTCTGGGGGTAATAGGCCAGCCGGAGCGTGATACTGACCACATCACCTCCACCTCCAGTGTCAGATGGTTGAGAAAAATGGTGGCCCTTGCCCCCCCTATTTCCCCATGGACCTTTATGGCCTGAAAAGGTACTACCTACCTACATGGAAACAGGAAATGTAATACATACCTTTCTAAGTACTTTATATTGTACTTATTGTTGTTGTTGTGAAAATTAACATTAAAATCAACAATATTCAGGTACTGTTTTTCAGATGAAAGGTCCTGACTCTCAGTGATCATTAAAGATCCCCGGGCATTTCTCAATAAGAGCAGGGAGTTTTCCCGGTGTCCGGGCCAAATTTCCCCCCTCGGCCTTTACCGTGGTCTCCAAATTGTCTCCATGTATGATTGGCTTGCACTTGCCCTGCGATGGACTGGTGCCCCGTGCAGGGTGTACCCTGCCTTGCGCTCGCTGCTTGCTGGGTAGGCTCCAGCTTTCCACGACACCGTTACGTTCGTCACACAACGAGTTACGTACGGATGAAGACTCTGATATGGTTTCCTCACAGTGATAGAAACTGATCTGATTAGCTGATCTCACTCTAGCTAGCACTGCATTAAAATCATCTGCATTCCCCCTGCTGACATCACCAGAGACATATCTTGATATTATTTATGTTTTTACAGGTAGGATCCATACTGTATACAGAAGATAGAGAGGTGTTCCCGCTGGTGTACCATTTAAACTGCCTAGCTGTATTTTAGGAGTCCTGAGGTAAAAATAAAAGTTGATGGGAGTACCACCAAGGGTGTGGGTGTTCTGTGCAGACTGGGAAAATATTCTATTCTTACTGTACTTTGCTGGAAAAAATAAAAAAGCATTTACCAATGAGTTTCCTTAATTTTCTTGTCTAGTGTTTCATCTTCTTAATTTACTGTATATAAAAACGTATATATATTCTACAATATATTGGCACAGTATATGAATAAAATGCCAGTCATCAACTGCTGTCCCTTTGTTGCATTAATGTTAAAATGGGATTAATGGGATGGGATGCTTAATGATATAATAATAGGAAGATTACTAATTTAATTGTTTCCTTTTATTCCATTTTTTTCCTTTCACAGAAAATTCAGCTATACAGTACCACTGGAGGCCTTTGCAATTGTATTCTTGAAATATTTTCTCATCTTCTGAAACCATTAACATATGGAAATGGATAGCAGAGATTTAATTTTGATTATCTTATCACCACTGTCAGATCTGAAGGTAGAATTATGGTCTCATGATTGATGTCTTCAGCATTTTACAAAGTATGTTAAGCATATCTATTTAACTCTACGTCTTTAGAAGTTTTTTCATAAACAAGTGTTCTGTGTTATATATTGCATTAGCAGGGATGAAGATATGAAAGAAACCAGATGATCTTCTCAGCTACATTTGACACTATATCCTCTTTAAAATCCTTTTGTTTATATGTGGGAAGGTTTAGTGATAGTGTTATGAAGCATTCTGAGTGTTCTACAAACCAAGCTGAATTAAACCTCGAACACAACTAGAAATGTAAATATCACACAACTCGTTTACCTTATAAAAGGGCCATTCAGGATTTAAGAACATTGTGATAATCCCTTAGAACTGTTCAAAAGTTATTTCATGTACACAAAGTATAGTGTTTTACTGCATTTTTCCCCAATACCTTGTCTGCCTGACTATAGCACCTCTCAAAATGAACCAGATTTATTTTGTGCAAGAGCATGATATTTCAGAATATTATCAGATGGTTGATTGCCAGCAGCTGTACAGCACAATAAACTCTGGTTTTATGTTACTCATGGCCATTTGTTCATAAATGTTCATACAATGATCCTGGAAACCACACCTGAGCAAGGATTTTTTGCAGGATATTTTCCATTTAAAATATTTGTGTACACAGTCCATTAAAAGTGATTGAAGATATGCTACATTTCAACCAAAATAATCATTTCATAAATTTGAAAAGATCACTGCAATGTGTTTTGAGCTGTTCCATGAGATACTGTACCAAGTATATGCTTTCATCAATTAAATCATGTTTAATGTTTAATACTAAGTCACAGTACATACCCAGGTAGTTGAAATCGGCTGCTACTTCTCATTGCTTTCAACGTCTTATTATTATGTTTCATGCCAGACATATAATATACCATATAATGCTAATTAGGATCAATCTAATTACAGCTATATACAGTACTGCCCCTTACAGAGATGTATGTATAATTTGTTACGAAATGGGTATGACGTATGTAAAGAAATAGGACAAAACTAAGATCTCTCATAATGGGTACACCTCCACACAGGATTAGAAGCTCAATAATTATATCATGTTCTCCAGATTACCCAAAGGTCTATCCCTTGCTCTAACATGTAAGCATACACCCACATACACCTTCTGTTAGCAATTTAAAATAATCCCTTTTCTCATATGAATATGACATTCAAAATCCCCATAGAACTAAATCAACAAAAAGCACATCTGTTAAAGTAATTTCAAATATACCAGTCACTTTATTACCTGGTATTGTTCAAATGAGAAACTTTAAATAAAAAAAATGATTTTTTTCTTCTTCATGTTCATTGCTTGAATTCTAATATCTTGATAAATTCTTAAAGTTAAAGTGTAACATCCTCACTGATGAAAGCCGACTTTTGTATCTCATTGCTTTCAATATCTAATTATTATGTTTCCACAGTATCACAGATTGTTATGAAAAACACAGTAAAATACTTTGGACACTCAGTGTCAGTGGCACTTTACTTTAGTGTTTAATTTAATGTTGTGTTAAAATGACATAATTTTTATTTTTCACTGATTTTAATGTCTCAAAAGCCTTTCAGAACTTCCCTCCATTTGGACTCCAAGTAAAACAGTTACTTACCTTGCAGGTGCTGTAGGGTAAATTATTCTTATGTGTGGAAAAGCAAGGTCTTGTTTCAAAAGCTCACGGACCCATGCTCGAAGGCCCTCGCCAGTGTCACCTAAATGTGGAGAAAAATGTACGTCACAACACCATAACAGGATTGCATCTGTTAGTAGAGCATCCCTACAAGTGCTGTAAACACTAAAACATGGATACACTTTTAGTAGCGAAAGAAATTTGGAAAAACCCAGTATTCACTACACCCTACCACAGATTCAATTGAATTCCATCACACATTAATTCCAATTTATATACTATCAGAGAGTTCTTTGTTCTTAAAATGGATACATCACAATTTATCACTTGACTTCATTAAAAATAATATAGCCAATAAACCTTTATACCTACAGTACCTACCCCAAATAACTACTACAATATAGATACATAGTTCTTAAATATGTTCATAAACCACTGACACTGGTTTTAAACAAAGGCTATTTGTATGAGGCTAATTATTACAGCAAAGTAAGCATTGTGTGATGAGATGATGTTGAAAGAAAAGGTATTACAGCAGCTAGGGCCCATGGATTCTACTGTGAGAATCTTTTCTAATTGAATTAGGAAATGTAAAAATGTGGCACAATTTATGTATTTATTTAAATAATCAAAAAAGGAAAGAGTAACTATAAAGGTCCATTTCAATTTACTCTAAGGCATAGACACTTTTGATGATGTACAGTACATGACTTTATACAATTGAGAACTGCTAATGTAGTGTCCATTAATAAAACAGTGTATGCAGTGTTTTTTGATACATTATGCATGCACAATCACAAGTGCACACATCTTATATATGCATACTGTAAATGTATATACAGCCTACTGTATTTACTAATATTATAAGTTTAAATATTATAAAAGGCAAAAGTACAGTATCAATTTCCTTCATTTTCCTGTTGCACTTCTTAAGAGAAAGCTATTAATAATAATGTGCTCAGAACATCCACAACTATTAACTCACTGTCCAAACAGTACTAACTAGCAAAACGGACATTCTCATTAGTGGTTTTTAAAACGTTTTGTTCCCAAATATATTTTGCTAAGTGTTATGCACTGTGTGGTGTATATAGTGGTGCATTATCTAAAGGAGACCTTTTGAGCTTGAAAGTTTTTTTTCTGTGCAAACATTGTTTGGGAAAATATCTGAAAGGTTGTAAAAAAAACAGAAATTGAGTAAAATGTTACAGAATTAATAATAGTTAACCCGTTGGCCAAATATATTTTATAGGGTAGGGATGAGAATGCATGACCTTCAGTTTGCAGCATAACTACATTATATTTGCACTATCAATTAGCTATCAGCTAGTTTAGAGCCGTATTGCTTTTGTATTCCCTATCCATACTTTGTCACTGTTGCAAAAGTTCAGTATAATTAAGTAGGGCTACTGTAATTACGATAGCCATGTGAATATAAATGTTAATGAAAAACCCATTTACTGTAAATACTGTATACAGAAAACAAAAAAGAACACATTTAACCATATTTCTATTTCTAATCACAAAAATATTTAGCAAAATATAAAAGGGGCAACAATTAATATGAAGAAAAACGGTTGATTTAATTTAAAAAAAATGCAAACTAGGGGGCATCTATTTTGCAAAAATTGAGAAACGTGTCTTACTGAAAATGAAACCACTTATGAATTCGTTAGTAAATTAGTCTCAAATTTAAATACTTAGGTTTTCATCCACCGATCGATATATTTATTCCAATATATTTATTCCAATCAATAGGCAGGGCTCTGTATTTGTGTACTGTAGGAACTGTGAAATGCATTACCTTCCACAATTCTGTTTATCCGTTAAAAGAAACCAATAAACTTTAAAGTGTTCATTCTATCAATGGCGTACAGTAAAAAGAAATTTTCTTTAAACACCGCCCCTTTCCCAGGCTTTCGAATTAAATATTCCACTCGTTGATTAACATTAGAGGCGTACAGTATTTCTCTGGTGAATTCTGTTTTTAAACGATTATCCTAAAAGCAAATTCTAGAATACTCACGACTCGTGGCACCAGCCACCACTACTACAGCATGGAAAGACCTTTAATTTAATTAAGTTTAAATGACGAGTTGCTAATGTGGTCACACTATCACGTTGGCACGTTTACCCCCTAAACAATAATACCATTTTAAAAAGTAAAAGCAACCTGAGCCGTGTAAGAAGAAAACGGATGCCGTATGTTTTCCAGTTTCTGATACTATGCATCTGCCCAACTTCTGAACTGCAGCCATCACTGATCAGTCTGTGACCCGGAAAATGCTGCGTTTGTCACACGGAAGGAACTAATACGTATGAGTTATATGGAGCTGCACGATACAGAAAAGTACAGAGTTACTGAACGCTTATAATTGTTGCAAAAGGGAAAGAAAAGGCGAAGTGTATTAGATTGTTGACACCGACAATAACGTACAGTACAAGTACGAGTGATTAGCACCCTATACAGTACAAAGATAGATTGATATGTAGAGATTCATTAGATAAAATGACCGCAATAGAAGAATAATTTAAAATAAAATTGTGGCACAACCGAATGAGACGTTATATACGTTTTCATCTCCTACTTTTTAAGAGAAAAAGATAGTTGTCCAGCAACGAGAAATACACCAACAGCAGATTCCACCCCATTCAAATTACGTTTTTGAAAAAAGAATCCTATAAGGATAATTACAATTTACAATAAACAGCGTCAGTCTGGATTGCGATCTGTATTAATTAGATCGAATATTATAGGAGTAAAAGTGATATGGAAAATCTGGTATTTCCAAAATTTAAAAACTATACGGAAGGAAACTACCTGCAAAAGTGAAGTCGAAAGATGGTAACGTCTACAATCTTGAGGTGTCGTTACAGCAACTAGAGATCAATCAAATACTTATGCCAAAAGACATAACAAATACCACATTCTTAATCATGTCCTTAAACCAGTTGGAAGTTTGGACACTTTCTACTTTAATGTGTGTCAGAACCAAAATCTATTATAATCCATAATCTATATCAACAAAACATCAATCATATACAATAGACAATACTTGGATTTTTTCATAATGAATTACAGAATTCCTATTTAAAAGATTTAAAAGACAGGTTTAATGAATACCATTTACAGTCTACTTAAGGAGAAGATAATCTAAACCTAATTTTTATGCACTTTATGGAGAAGGTATTGTTTCTAATGGCACAAAAGAATGTTGTTTAAGATTATGAATTAAAGCAATCAACAGTAGGAAACAACTGTTTATATGTTTCAAGAAAATATTTGGTTCCAATGCTCATCTGTTGCATTTTGAATGTCAGTGTAAATAAAAGAACAAACGGTTCATTCCACAATGGAAATTAGAAAGAAAAAGCTGAAGGATTCTCAGCAGACATAATGTTTTTTTTTCTTTCTACTTTTTAGCATGCATTAAACTTCTACTTGTTCCTTTGCAGCCAATTCGCTGTAATACAGTAGCTTCCCACTCAGGTATATTTATCAGAAAATATACACTGCCTTGCAAAAGTATATTTGTTCAGAAACCGCAAAAAAAATCAATAACTAGAACTTGAAGATTGCACGACTCTTCACTCCCTTTCTTATGACAAACTGTAGCAGTGTCCCTTCTTATCACCAGCCTGAGCACCATGGCAACTGTTTCCTGGCCACTTACAGTATGTAACGTCCTGTTTTTTTTTACTGAATGAGATAAAATGGTATTTTAGTTTACCTAAAACAGGATGTTTCTTTATAGTCCCATTATTTGCTTCTCTGGGAGACTAACCCAAAATCTGCAAAGCATAAAACAGAGTCCTGCTAACTCTACAACCAAACTCTTAGTCTATGGTGACACCCTGACCTTCACAGGAAACTCAGGGAAGATGTTTATACTTTAACCTTAACCAATCATATCAACCATAACCAGAAACCAGAAATCACAAACCAAACCATATACTTAAAACCATAAAGCTGTAACAACAAGTCACCCAATATCTTACGATCACTTGGTACTCTCTATGTAAAACCAGGTCTTTTCTCTTCTTCATTCAATTTAATCCAATGGAGAAAGCACGCCTCCTGTCCCAGTTTTCCCTTTCCTGAATATACTGTATGGAACCAACCCACTACTTGGAGAACACTCTCTAGATGGTGGTTAGACATATCCCTTGGAAGAGTCAGCCATAATTTTTCCTTCAACCTCCCAGTCTCTCAAACTGTATCTCATCTATCCTTGCAACCAAACTTCTAACCTAGGCAAGCAATAGGCAGAATACAGGATACACCCTGCAATACACCCTGGGATACCAGTGTGTCCAGGGCACACACAGACACAAGCACAAACCTGCACGTGCTCAAAAGCCAATAAACCTACATGTAGGTTTTCTTGTGGCAGGAAACCAGAGCACCCAGCGAGGCCTCACATGAACATTGAGAGAACATGTAAACTCCACACAGATAGCACCCCAGGTCCACAACTGAATCCAGGGCTAACCATTGTGCCACTGTGCTACCACTCTAACACAACCATTTAACCTTAATATGGTTCTCCTGATGCCCCAACCAAGCACTGTCTTTCTGAACATTTGGATTTGTAAATCTGGTGGTCACTTTATATACTATGTTTTTGTATTTTCAAGGTTACTGCATGCACACATTTTTGGAGTGTATAAGGCTTTATGAGCACTCAGCATGTGTGATAGTGGAGCATAACTGACAGCATATTGTATTATATCTTCATATGTGGACCCTTTTCCTGTTGATAATGTTCAGGTCATGAGTCCCACATAACTAAGCAATTTTGTGTATCAGAAAATTTGAAGTCTTACTAGTTTCTACAAGATATGCCAAAAATGGTATATTAAAATTGACTATTAAAACCATTACAGATAAAATTATGAGGGTGAAATAGCTGTACATAGTAACTAAATAATAATAATAATTGCTTACACTTACAGTATATAGCGCTTTTCTGGACACTCCACTCAAAGCGCTTTACAGGTAATGGGGACTCCCCTCCACCACCACCAATGTGCAGCATTCACCTGGATGATGCAATGGCAGCCATAGTGAATGCTCACCACACATCAGCTATCAGTGGGGAGGAGAGCAGAGTAATGAAGCCAATTCATAGATGGGGATTATTGGGAGGGCATAATTGGTAAGGGCCAATGGGAAATTTGGCCAGGATGCCGGGGTTACACCCCTACTCTTTTCAAGAAACGCCCTGTGATTTTTAATAAACACTGAGAGTCAGGACCTCGGTTTTACGTCTCATGTTACATCAAAAGAATATTTACTAAAATATGCAATTCATCTAAAATCAAGTTTTAGATTTTGTCAAAATATTTTTTTTTCCTTGCCTGACACAGCTGCCACATTTTATGATCAACATTTATTACTTGTCTTAACAGCATCAAATGCAAAGCTCTGGAAGATTTTGGATCTGCAAATCCCAGTGGTGTATGGTTTCATTACTCAAACACCCATCTGCTGGTCAGTGCGGTGGAATTTCTTAAAATAATTTTCCTGATTCTTTTTGTCACTTATACATGGAGCAATTCCTATGAATATTAAGTAACTTGATGGGTCTTGGTTTTTCCACGTGTGCCTCTAGTGCAGCCAAAACAGTATTTTTATGCTTTTTGGTCACATAGCATTTTAGGTAATCTGGTGAAAACTGCAAAAGTCAATCAATCGTGAATATGAATGAATTGTACCCATTCAGTTGTCAGTGCTTTATTTTCAATGCATTTAGCATGCCTTACTTTATTATGATGTTTGAAATCTGTTGAACATATGTTAGTCCTGTTTGTTTCAGGAATCTATGTCGTAAAATGGAACGTTATTAATAGGTATTGGAAGGAAGTTGTTAGTCATTTCTCATGCTTCTGTATTTTATTTAATGTCTTGTGGATGTAATACTTTCTAGTTTTCTTCCTCTGTGAGGTATTTTAACCTGATCATTTTCTTGACTAAACAGGGTAAGCTGGCTGTGGAATAGACATTTCTTCTCACATTTTAGAATAATTTTAAGTGCTAGGTTTTAAGGAAGAGTAAATCATAGCAATGTTTTTTTACATTATCTGGTTATCTTACCAAAGAAAACCAAGCAAGGAGAAATAAATAGTTATTTATGATATAGAGTACTTGTTTTAATTGTAGCTGTTTCATTTGCCATTTTTAAGATCTTGAGAAATTATTAAACTATGCCATCAATTACTATATAAAATTCCTATTCCATCCATAACTCTGAATGCATCAGATATAAATCATCTCATCAGCAGAACAAGTTTTCACAGTTAACCAGTCAATTCCCCAATTTGAACCAGACAGTTAAGTGTTGATTGATGACTGCTGCAGCTCCCGCTGATAAGACACATGGGGCCTCCCCTCCACCACCACCAATCTGCAGCATCCACCTGGATGATGCGACAGCAGCCATAGTGTGCAACAACGCTCACAACACATCAGCTATCAGTGGGGAGTAGAGCAGAGTGATGTAGCCAATTTATAGATGGGGATTATTAGGAGGCCATGATTGGTAAGGGCCAATGGGAGATTTTGCCAGGACGTCGAGGTTACACCCCTACTCTTTTCGAGAAACGCCCAGTGATTTTTAATGACCAAAGAGAGTCAGGACCTCTGTTTTATGTCTCATCCGAAGGACGGCACCTTTTTACAGTAGTATCCCCATCAGTATACTGGGGCATTAAGGCCCACATGGACCGCAGGGTGAGCGCCTCCTGCTGTCCCCACTAACACCTCTTCCAACAGCAACCTTACTGTTTCCCAAGAGGTCTCCCAACCAAGGTACTGACTAGGCACCTGCTTATCTTCAGTGGGTTGCCAGTTGTGAGTTGCAGAGTGATATGGCTGCAGGCGATTAAGTGGGATCTTAGAAGCAAAAGTAAATTAATATGCATCTGTTTGTCACTTGCCAGCTGGGACTGGGATTCCCCAAGCTAGCCTTGGGATTAGTTGGAACGGCTCTCTCATCTCAGGGCAAAACAGTGGTGTGAGGAATGGGCCTCCCCCTCAAGGTTTGAAACTCCTGCACAGGGCTATATATGGGCTGTGACATGTGAACAAGTGAGTAGTTAGAAAGTGAATAGCAAGGAAGGGTTGAAAGAGCCTTTTCTACAAATCTTTACAAGATGAATGGGAATCTCTCTAGACAGTATCTGCAACCTGGTGCAAAGCATTAGTTACAAAATTACCAAAATGACCAATGTCCTCTTTCCAGTATTGGCCAAATGCTTCTAGCCTGTGCCAT